ATGACTGCATTGTTTCACACTATTTCTTTGTGTGAGCGTAAGGGCTTGAATTTCTTTTTCTTCTGTTGAATTATCCTTTGTCAGACTTGTTGGACCCTGCAGCACCTTTTGTTATTCATCCCCAGGAAGTTTAATTAAAGCTCACCTTGGTTACCTGCCCGCCTCCTGTTTCTGAACCACACACGGCAGAACCAGACCGGATTTCTGATGAAAATTCATGTAACCTTAAAATATAATTAATTCATTCTAAGGAACATGTATTAGTGTTTCCAAAGCCCTTGAAGAATTAATCAAATGTTTTGTTCGAGTGTTACCACAAGAGAGGCCATTTAGCAGCCTTCGTCGGCTCTTTATTGCGCGCCGTGCTGCACTTGAACGTTTCACCTTCACTAAACTGTGAAGCAGATGAAAACCTCTGAAGTAACTAAATCTGAGACGAGGAGAAACACTTTTTGTGCGCTTCACAAAAGAAAAGCAGCAGATGTTTCCATTTGTTGGGGAATGTTGCTCAGCCAGTTTACGATAAGAAAGAACTACTGTGGAAAAAAAAACGAATGTTAAGCATTCTCAGGCGAAGAAAGAACTTGAAGCATTCTGAAGTGGAAAAACAAATTTAAAAAATACACTGGATGTGCAGGTCGGTTTACTGTCTGCTGTGTGTTTTCCATCTCTGTTTATGTTTAAGGCATTTTGATTGATCGGTGTCAGCTTTATTCAGTCCTGATGTCCGCTGTGCCACAAGTGTCGTAGAGAAGAATTTGTGGTGCGATTTTCTTTGTCAACAATCAGCAGCGCTGTCGCAAATTGGGCAAAGTGGACATTTGTCTCGTGCTGATATTGCTGTGGGCTGCAAGGTGGAACGGTGGTTAGCACCGTTGCCTCGCAAGAAGGTCGCCGGTTGGCGTCCTGGCGAGGACACCTGGGATCTTTCTGCGTGGAGTCTCCATGTTCTCCCCGTGCAGCGTGGGTTCTTTCTGGGTTCTCCGACTTCCTCCCACAGTCCACAAACAAAGAAGAAAAAACGATATACAGTTGTGACAACAAGGCTGTCGGATTGTCAAGACGGAGGTTGAGATACAAGGAGGGCTTGATGCTGGAAGGCTCATTAGTTGTTATTATTTATTGCTCATAGTTGTTATAATAACTAGTGTGTTGTTAGAACACTACACATCGCTGGATTTGATTGGAGCCTAATTGACCGGTGCGACTGTGCACGGCCCGTCAGATGACATTGAAGGTAAACACGTTCAGACAGAAGTGACCCAAATACGATTTTTTTTTTCTCCTATGCGACCTGTATCTGGTCTTTTCATGACAGTCTGAACAACACAGATCCAATTAATGATGAATATTCGAATATTCAGCATGGTCGGGGGACACTTCCACNAGATGCAGCGCGGTGATGGCGACGGCACGGCGCAGGCGGCGTACGATGAATCCGTGTGAGCGAACGGGATGATGTTTCACTGAGGGAGCAGAAAACAGGCCGGCGCTGTTTTGTATTCACAGCTTTATTAAAAGCTCGGTGTGAACCAAAGTGCAGAGTGTCAGCCTTTTTAACGCACACAGCATTAACGCAATTACTCACGTGTCAAACAGCCACAAATTAACAAAAGGCTGAGAGCAAAAAAAAAAAAGAAAAGCAAAAACTCTCTGGCAGAGATTCCAAATATGTGCAGCGATTAGTAACGATGAGGGATTCGTAACTAGAAGCCGAACTGACAACTAAAACTGTTGGTTGAGTTTTTCTTTTGTTCTCATTTGTGCTTCCTGTTGCTCTCCTTCACCCAACACCTGCACGGTTGTACCTGCTGTCTTGTTCCCACTCCTCTGACTGCCTCATCGCGTCCATCTACTCCTGGATTCAACCACACCTCCATCTTCATTTCCTCGCGTCCAAGTCCCTCCCGTCATTAGCAACGACGAGAGGACATTCAAACGAGACATTCTTATCAATTAAACACGACGCAGCTGCATCGTGCGTCCGTCGTTAGCAGAACGGCGCTCGCAGCATCCGTCTTAATTGGCGACGTGGCAGAATGTATCACGGATGTCGTTCATTTTATTTTTCTAAACCCGCACACTTGTTGTAAAGTATTAAAGAGGTGTAGCTCACCAACGGGCACTCTGCAAAGGAAGAGTGACGCGTGTTATGATTAAGTGATATACACACATCTGTCAGTCCTGCTCCTGGCATGATGCATGTCGAGCCTCTTCTATACATTACACCTCATGTACGACGGTGCATCCTCGCTCGCTGCTCCTCCAAAAGCCTCCTCTCTCCTGCATTTAAGGAAATGAGACGTCTATCTAGATGGCTGAGATCTAATGCTGGGATCAGGACAGAGGAAGAGGCTCAGAACAGGGAAATGAGACGAGCCTCTTGTGTTTCTCCCTCTATCGTTGCCTGACTCCCTGCAGAGTTGCCCTTTCCTTTAGTGAATTACAGCTTTTTTATCCACGTAAAAGGTCTGAGGACTTACAAAGCCTACAGCAAAGGGAGGTCTTCTCTCTCCTTAGCTGCCTGAAACACCTTGTTTAGGAGGCTTTCGGCTGTTACTTATCTTAGTAACACATTTGCCGAGCAGCTGGTTTGCGACACCCTCTCAGCAGCGTCCTCTGCCATTACTGCCTGACTGGAGGCACTTCTGCCAGAGACGTCTTCCTGCCTACGCTCACGGGTACGTTCCAGTACCCAGACCATCCATCCATCCATCATCTATACACCACTTAATCCTCACTAGGGTGGTGGGGGGCTGGAGTCTATCCCAGCTGACTCAGGGTGAAGGCAGGTTCACCTGGACAGGTAACCAGTCTATCACAGGGCTACACTTAGAGACAGACAACCAAGCACACTCACATTACTAGCTGACCTACCCATAATAACAAGAGTTTATCTCTGCAGCCACAAAGTCTATGTGAATAATTCTAGTGTCATAATAAAAGGAACACTTGTAAGATTTGTTCAGATGTGTAAATATCAGTATATATGTTACTGGTTCAGAGTAAATGAAGATGGCACACAGCACAGATGAAAGCAGCTCTGAACCTCTCCCAGATCAGAGACAACATGTGAACATTGTGACTCTGATAAAGTGAAGCAGAACAACATCAGAGAGTTTTTAGTCCAGACAGTTCAGGCGAGCTCACATTCTGGCTCACTGGTGACCATCTGAATGTT